TTGGGGAGACTTTTAAAGGCCAGAGCTGTGGAAACAGGGCTCCCGTGTCCCTTGCCAGCTCTGCCCTTCAGCTACTCTGCAAGCATGGGCTGGGCATGCCAGCTCCCTGCTTTATTTGCCTGATAAGGTTATGGCAATATTTGTTAAGCGCCTCAGGATCCACAGAAACATTTTCCTATTGCGCACAAGTTTCTGAGGTCTTTTGTTTCAACCCCCTGCAAAGGTCAGGTAGTGGGAAACTCTTTTTGGATTAAGTCTGTGTCTGGGAGATTACCACAGCCAGCAGAAAAACACCCTGAGAGGTGTCCTTGTCCTGGAGCTGCTGTGGGGAGCGGGTCCATGGGAAGGCACAAAGGTGGCGTGGGACAGCACGGGGCAGCGCGTGCCCTGCCGTGGTCCGGCTGCCGGCATCCCCTGCACACCCACCAGGGAGCAACTCACCGCTCGGAGCCTGCCGAGGGGCCTGGAGGCGTCAGGGCTACCTATCTGAAACTCAAAAACAAAGCGGGTCCTTCTCCTACCAAAAAAAAAAAAGAGAGAAAAGAGAAAAATTATCTCCTGTACCAAACTATCCTGTATTCCATGAAGTTTATTGTCAAATCTTGGCTTTGGAGCGTTCACAATGCAAGTGTAGCCTTAGCAAGAAAATGAGCACACCCACAAAACAGTCCACGGCACACCTGAAATACAAAATTTGAGATATTCTTATAAAACATTCAGACACAAGATTGATAGATGGATACAATCTTTTATTCTGGTTTGGTTGGGTTTTTTTTTCCGCACCTTTCCATTTATTCCAGAAAAACTTTCTATAAAAAAGTCATTGCTTCTTTTGGAATAAATCTTTAAAATAATTTCTTTTAAAACGCATCTTTCGTTTGTACAACGCTAGTTAAATATATCACCGGTGTTCTGCAAATGAATCACATCAGAGAACATTCACAGTTTGTGTATCCTGGCCGCCTGGATCTCTTTTTCCTGCTGTAGGACACGCATGATGCTGAGGATGACAGAAGGCAAAGAAGAAACCAGAAAGGGGTTTTTGTAGGGTTTTTCTGGTCCTTTCCCTGTGCCCTGGGACACGCACACAAACACTTTGACGTTACTCAGCCCTGCGGTTGGACTCTTCCTCCAATGTTTGCCCACCTGCCTGTTCCAAGCCTGCTCCTGGCAGCGCTGCGCTCCCATTTCATGCTAATCCAATTTCTGACTGGAGATAAGTCATGGGAAAAGAACAAACAAAACATTTGAGAAGCTTGGGAAAGTGGCCTTCTAATTATTTTTTTTATTTTCATCATGTGTAAGGGAGAGGAAAAAATGCACTTAAGTCTCCCAGATACAATGTAGTTCTGTTATTTAAAATCCTAACGCAGATCTGGCAGTGGGTTGGGCCAGGAAAGGCGTGTGCATGTGTCTATGGAGAGGGCGAAATTAAACAGCTCTGCCTGCGGGTTTTATTGTTGTCCCATAGCACAGACCTTGCTTTACACAGTATTTACTTACATTTCTTTAACTAGCTATCAGCTGGAGAGACGAAAGAACTCGGCCTTTCCCCAGGGCACAGCCAAAACTCCATTTTCCACCAGAACTGGTAAAAAGAAAAATGCAATAAAACTGTCTGGAAGACAAAGCAACAGCTTCCTTTTGTCAAAGCTCCCCATCTGCGAGGAGCGCCAGCCACTCTGCAAAGCGGTGCATGGGACAACCCACAAAATGAATAAAATGCCGGGAGAGCCACAGATATTCCCAGCATTTTCATTAGCGCCGCTTTAAGAATCCAATCTGGGAGCCGGCTGGCGCTCCAAAGGCTGGGGAAAGCCTGGCTGGGGCTGAGCTGCTGGAGCAGGGGGAGCGACGCCATCGGCAGCTCAGCCCCATGGCAAATGTCCTCCCCTTGCATGCAGGGACGAGCGGGGCATCGCTCTGCGCGGGGCCTCTATCAGCTGGGGCATCCACGGGATTCTGGTCCCCAAAAACCCAGCCGGACCCCGCAGTCCTCAGGGGGATGGTGATGGACAAGGGGGATTGGGCTCCACCAACTCGCAGCTCCTTTCCTGCGCAGCCGGGGCAGATCAGACGCTTTGGCGACACGTGCGAGTGCAGCAGCGATGGGACCTTGTAAATCAAACCTCGCTCAGCGGGGCACCAAATATTTACACACACTATCGCCCTCCTGAATAGGAATCAAATGTGGTGGAACAAAAGGGGTTATCTTCAATTTGGGCTGTTAGTAGTGCACAGGGCTAATAAATAACAGCGTCTCCTTTAGGGAGGATTCGTAGGAGGAAAGGCAATGGCTACTAAGAACAAACAGCAGCTAACAGGCCCTTTGTCTCTGCTATCTCATCCTGGGTAAAGCAGTCCTGTCTACACGGTCATTGCTAGGTCTTTTCCCCGATGTTTCTCCCCAGTGGATTCTGTAGGTGACCGTGACCGTCACCTCTCATATGAGGGGAGAGCAGGGTCCACAGCAAGCTGGTGGTCTGCTGTGGTCTGCTCCGTCCTCCCAGTGTGAGAGCAGGACAGCTCAACTGGGCACCCTGTGCCCCAGCAAGCTTTATGCGCAAGGGGGATCTCAGTGAGTGGAGATGGCAACGCCAAGCAAGCAAACTGCACAAAGAGAGGTCAAACGTGTCCTGAATGTGCTTCCCAAGAGTGGGTGGAGGGGGTTCCTGCTCCTCCCGGTCCAATCTGTGCTCACAGAGCGCAGGGGGGCTCTTTTCCCTGGGCACATCAGCAGTCTTCACCCATGTACCTGAAGGTGCTGCCGCAGGGGTGTCCGTGAGCCGTCCTGCTGCTGAGCTGCCAGTTCCTGCTGGGAGCTGGCTGCCCTAGGACATGCAAGTCTGCACCACAGATCCCTGCCATGCCAAGGAAATTCCTGTGTAAAATGGCTTTTGTGAAAGAAAAGATGACAGTGTGAGAGTTGAGACTTAGTCCAGCCAACACCTCCCTGTGTGAACCTCCCTACTGAAAAGCCCCGCGCAGCAGGAGCCGGGTGTAGGAAACCGGGCAAAACGCTGCCCTGACACCAGGGCGAAATGCGTCACTGGTGGCTGGTGGCTATTCATGCTCTTCCCTATCAAATGGAAACAATTAATGAACTATTCAGCCTGCTGTATGCTGGACATACCGAGAAGGGAACTGAGCAGGGATGGGCAAACCTCAAACAATGCAGACGTCTGGATGCTTGTCTAGGACAAACCCGAATTAACAGCTTTGGCCTGCTGGGGGAAGCTCAGAGGGTACATCGCACCGAGCACTGGCACAGGGAGGAAATGCCCCAGAAGTTTTGGGGAGCTCTGGGGTCTCCTCATTTATCCTCACACTTCGCATTTTCCATGGATCACAGAAGAAATGCTGCACAGCAGAGCAGAAAACAGAGCCCTCGCTCCCTGCTCGATGGGGAAAGTTGCTGTCCCCTGAGCAATGCCCCCAGGCTGGGAGCACGACGGGTTAAGACATGAGCATGTCCTGCCAGCCCAGGCCCAGTCCCAGCACCTGCCAAGTCCAGAGTCTCCAGGTCACATCCATGGGCAGAAGGACCAGTGGACGAGAGGACCAGTCATCTGGGATAGCCAAGAAAAGGTTGTGAATCTTATACAGTAGAGAGACTTCTTGCAACGCTCGCACACTTGAAGACGTTTCAGGCTGTCTGCAGGCTGTGGGGGAGAGGTGCAGCAGGGCCTCCTCGCTCAGGATGGATTTGGCACATTCCTGAAGCGCACAGAGGGGAAAACGCACCAGGAGCCGTCCTCGGCCAGCAAAGCACACTCAGATGTGAGCACGCACCTCAGTCCCACGGCATCGATCTGAGTCAGGGCTGGAGCGATCTGGCATTGGCTACAAACGTAGAGGCCAGGTGACGAGGTTTGAGGGATGATTTGCTTCTCTCTGGGTCTATTTCTGGTCCCCACAGCTGAGCTGTGGGAGGTTTGGCACCTCTCCCCCTTCCTCCGGGTAGAAATGCACTGAGGTGGGGGTGTGCAACACTTTGGTACGGAGAGGCTGCGCAGCTCCGGCTCTGCCACGTTGCACGGAGCTTAGTGACGGGATGGGGGGAGATGCGCTCCCGAGATGCCAGCAGCGGACCGCATCCTGCCCCGTGAGACAATGGCAGATATGGGGCAGCTCGCTCAGCGATGAGAAAGGGGCTGCTCCATCAGTGCCTGGGAAAGGCTGGCCAAAGGGCTCAGTACGGTGATGGGAGGGAGCTCGGAGCTGATGCTCGCCTGGCCCTGTTTCTGCACAGCCCCACCAGCAGGTGCCTGCACCCCGGGCAGGCTCGGCCAAGCCTTGCTCTCAGGACATCCCAACTGACTGAACTTGGAAACGCAATGGTGGCAAGGAGGGAGGGATGCTGGGGGAAGCAATGGGAAGCCCCCTCCCTCCAGCTGCTCCATCCTTGTCAGGATTCAGGTACCAAAGACGGGGACTGAAAAAGCGGCCATTCAGGCAGAGGCAAGGGCAAATAAGGGAGGCCTGCCCTGGATTTTGTGCTTCAGGTGCAGTCTCTCCAGTGCCAGGCTGGGTCATACCCCTGACTTGTAATGTGGCTGCAAAGTGTCTCCCCAAAAAATCGGGGGTGCAGAGCAGGCTGTATGAGCATTTTCAGTTTGGAGACACCATTCTCTGCTCACAACTCCCCCCCATACCCAGTTCACCCCCCAAGGACCAAGCAGTTCCCTGGGGCAGCGCACGATCCTGCACTCAGCAATGCCCAGGGCAGCTCCTCGCTACGGCACCTGCACAGAGGATGGCAGCTCACGTCTGATGGGGACAACATGAAAACAAGAGCGGGGAAAGGCCACAGCTCCATCAACAGCAGCTGTAGGGACTGTGGGTGCGGGGATGGGCAGGGGAGAGCCTGCGGCCAAGGGCGCTTCAGCATCGTCCTGCTTGAGTCAGTAATTCTGCGGTGGGTCAGGTGGGAGCGTGTTGCTGTCTCCTTTCTCAGTGCTTTGATCTCCATGGTGACAAGGGGAACACGAGATTCGAGTTTAAAATATACTCTGCCTCCTGTTCTTCCCTCGGGCTGAGGAAGAGAGAGAGAGATGGGTCAGAGATGTCAGACTGGGTTTGGTCACAAGCCTGTGGCATTCACAGAGGAGGGAGCTGCGCCTCAAGGCAGCTAGATGTGACTTTGGTACCATGGTAGGTGACAAGCAAGGATGCCCCTGGGGTGATCTGATAACTACAACAGGGAGCAGGGGGCAGGTTTGGCTTTTTCCTACGGGACTCACTGGGAGTAACCCCAGCGCCAGTGCCATGGCATCATCTGGGAGAGGTCAGCATGGTTTTCCCCAGTCCTACCTGACTGCTGAAAGGCTGAGCCTCGGTAGCCAGGGTCCTTTTGAAGCTGGATCTCCTTCAAGGAGAAGATGGAGGCAGCTAAGGCAGAGAAGGCAGAGAGAGAGGGGTCAGCCCAGCTGGCTGAGCCGGCAGCGGTCTGCAAATCTGGAGCCCGAGGGACGGCAGTGCCCAAGTGCAGCACTGCCCCTCATCAGAGCTTTTCTCTCGCACTCTTACTCTCCATCGCCCTACCCAAATTGTTTCTTGCTCTCGCAGCCACCAAGCTCCCACCCCACTCTGCTCCAGGAGCACCTCTGAGTGAGCAAAGACAAGAGGCACCTGAAGAGCTCTGGCTGCAAACCACCACCCCAGGCTGCACAGCAGCAGTTTGCTCCCCATCCCACGGGTGAGAGGCCAGCGTGCACTTACTGTCAGGCAGGAGATGCACCCGCTCTCCCAGGCTCTTGAAGTAAGCGTGCCGCAGGGCTGCCTCCGCTGAAATCCGGCCTTTGGCTTCGTACTGCACAAAGCCACAGAGAAAGGCAATCACACACAGTCTGCACCCGCGAGATGGCACAGAGGCCCCGTACAGGGTGTGTGCACATCTGTGGGCCTATGCACATGTGAGTGCCCAAGCAATTTCATATACTGCGTGGGTGACAGCGTGTCCAAACACTGGACACACCACGGGCAGGCAATTACCAGTGCCATTTGCACGTGCATAAGGGACAGCACACACTGTGTGACCACAGGAATGCACTGGTCATGTCATCAGGTTTGTGTCCTCTCACTTGTGTGTGAGAGGACACGGGGTGAAGAAAGGTTCACCATCCTTAATGGGAGGTGGTTTGTGATAGCATCTACAAGGTCACAGTTGTAGGGTCATGATTTACTCTGCAGCCACAGCTCCTCTCCTGCCTGGCTCTGGAATCAGTGTGAGGGCAGCCAGAGTACCTTCACTTCAGCAAATCCCTTTGCCATCCACCGGGACTGCTCTGCCACTCACCAGAAGGAGGTTCATCAGCAAGTCAATGCCTTCTGAGTCCAGCCTGAGAGAAAGAGGGAATAAAAAACGGAGCATTACTGCACCCAGGAGACATTGCAATAGCCAATGCAAGGGACACATGGCAGCAGGGACCTCCAGTGCATTCAGAAGCTGCCAGCACCACAAGGAGGAAATGAAACTGGGCTCCCCAGGCTCCTGGTTACGACCAGCACAAGCCCACCATGCCTTATGCGTGAGCAGGAGCTCAAGGAGGTACCTTGGGGCGTGATTTATTAACGGCTGGGCTCGGTACTGCGTGAAGTTGTAAGCCTTGAACTCCTCGTTGGATGTTATTCCAGGCCAGGTGTCTTCTGTTGGGGTTCCTGGGAGGGGGAGAGAGGGAAACCTGTCACACTCATTCAATGCAGAGAGCAGCCTGATGCACACCAGCGCCAGCGTCCTCCCCAGGAGAGAGGGCACCAATGTTCCCCGCAGCCTAGGACTCGCCCGAGCATCCTCATCCTCACAGCGCTGCGGAGCCGGGGCTGGAGAGGGGCTGCGGGCAGCCCTGCCCACGCCTCCCTGCAGGCTGCCAAGGCTGAGCGCTGTCCCCGCTCCCGCAGTCAGCCACTGCCCTCGCGTGGGCATTTGGGAGAACGCAGAACACTCACCCAGCAGCCTGAAGATCAAATGCAGCTCTTCTTTCACCGTGGAGCCGGGGAACATGGGCCGACCAGTGACCATCTCGTAATGGATGCACCCAACACCCCTAGAGCAGCAGCAGATGTCTGGGATTAGTGAGGGAGAAGCCCTGTGGATACCCCCACCACCTCTTGGCCAGGGCTGAGGTTCCTGGAGAGGGAAATCAGCTCCAGGAGCTGTCCCCCGTCTCTGCTATGGGTAATCGTTCACTCCTGATGTGGACAGTATGCTCCAAAGCGCCTGAGCCCCAGGGGATACAGAAAAGAGCATCATCTTTGGGATGTGCATGGTGTAAGCATGGATGGTGCTACACTGGCTGATGGATGGAAATGCCCATCCCCACTGCGTCAGAGATCCCGGGAAGCTCAGTTTGGAGCTGCAGCTCACCACATGTCGATGGGTGTGGAATATTCGGTAGATCCCAGCAGGACGTCGGGAGGACGGTACCACAGCGTGACCACCTCGTTGGAATACGTTTTTGTAGGGACTGACTTGGCTCTGGCCAGTCCTGAGGACGAAAGGGATGGGCATCAAGGGGCTGCACCTCCTTGCAGTGCTGCGTCTTCCCCAGAGCCCACCTACCAAAGTCAGCCAGCTTGAGCTCTCCTCTCTCGTTGATGAGCAGGTTCTGGGGCTTGAGGTCTCGGTGCAGGATCTTTCTCCCGTGACAGTAAGCCAGACCACGCAGCAGCTGGAACATGAAGATCTGTGGGGAGGAGAAGGGGTTTGCATTTAGCAGGAGGACATGGGCACCGAAAGCGAGTCTGTCTCAAGGGCTCTGAAACTCATGGCCAGGAAAGCCCCTTGACGGTGGCTTGGGACAAGACACCCTGCAGACAAGGGTTCAGGCTCATTGCCCACAATCATGAAAAGGGGCTGCACAAAGTGCATGCACAGTAATTTTATTTAGAGCGGCAGTGCCTTTAGAAAAGCTGGTGGAGCACCAGAGCAGGCTGAAAAAGGCCAAAGAAGAGTAAGAAGGCTGAACTGAAGAGAGGAGGAGTACCCAGCCTCACCCAGCCCTGCAATGCCCTGGCCTGTGCTCAGGGTGAGCTCCCCACATGTGGGGAGAGGCAGGGGTGCAGGTCCCAGGCAGCACCGTCTTACCTTCACGTTGTGCACGCTCATCAGGTTCCCACAGTTATCGAGGTACTGCTTGAGGTCGTTGTCCTGCAAGGGGAAGCAGACGTCAGCCTCTCCTTCCCCCAGCCCCTATCACCCACAGAAAGCCCCCCAGACCCACCAGGTACTCGAAGACGAGGGTGAGGGAGCGCTCGGTGTGGATGATGTCGTGCAGGGTGACGATGTTGGCGTGCTTCAGGTTCTTCAGCAGAGACACTGCAAGGAGAGGAGAGGACAGGGTGGCTCAGCAGGACCTGCGTGACTGCGGGTGTACGTGTCCCCCTGCGCCACCCGTCCCAGTGTGACCCGGCAATGCCCTCACCTTCCCGTATGGCCGTGCAAGGTGCCCCTTCCTCGTGCTCCAGGCGGATTTCCTTCAGGGCAACGAGGTTTTCGGTCAGCTTGCTGCGTCCCTTGAAGACAGTGGCGTAAGTGCCCTGATGGGAGAGAGCAAATAGAAGCCATGCAGACCATTTATCAGAGTGGCACAACACTGATATATTCCAGAGTGTTTCAGGAAGGATCATTTGAAGCTGCAGGGCCGCGTCTGAAGTTCACAGAAAGAGCTGGTCTAAAAATTGCTAGATACTGAACAAAACTGGCCACAATCTGCCCTCTGCACTTCAGGTTGCCCTTCTAACTTAATTTAAATCCTTACATTGGTTTCATAGTGTACTCACCTCTCCCAGTTTGTCCAGTTTAACATAGGTTTCCAGCTTCCCGAACCCGATATCCGACTGTAAGAGAAAGGAAAACATCACTGGAGAGATCTCATCCAGGGATGGCTTCACCTCCGGGGGGAAGGTCAGGGACACCAGGCAGTAACGGCTTTGGGGAGATCAATCACGGCAGTGTTTGCATGCAGCAGCACAGCCCATCTCAGCACGTCAAGTCCATTACTTTCCTGGAGAAGCTGTGCAGGTGACCAGGCAATCAATCACAAAACCTTCACACCCGACTGGGTGCTGAAGCGAAATGGATGGACCTGCACCCCGTACCCCAGAGCAGGCGGTGACTGCCCCTTCCCGTGTGCTCATTTCTCTGTGTGCTGCTCAAATCAAGCGCGAAAGGGACATTTTCTCATCTGGAACAGTAATTCTTTAATGTATTGCTGAGACCTGCTCTCATGTACCCAGTGAAATAAAGGCAACCACTGCGAGGTAACAGATTCAGCTGTCACTACAAGCAGACCCCTGAAACTGCAGTTTTCTGTGGGGACAGAGACACCTCCTTGGTTAGTCTGGATTATCCATGTACAGGGATGGTTCCCAGCACAACAGGGCCCAAGGCCCAGGGCAAATCATTGCTCCTTAAGCTTAAATAATAAACCAGGGTCATTCTCCCACAAAATACGTTTGCACCGATGTGGTCCCAGGCCAGCAGCCAGCTCTGACTCCAGCCCAGCTGAAGCCCCCCCAGACCCAGCAGCGCTGCCCCGTGTCCCCAGAAGGGCTCATGCGGTGCCACTCAATGGACAGCACTGAATCGGCAGAGACTGCCCGGGGGGGCACTGAAGGAGCCCCCTGCGCTGTGCCCACGGCTCTGCCTGCAGCCCCAGCAGCCCCAGGTCTGGGGTGCTCCTGCAGCTCCCCCTGCTCACCGGATCTGCCCCATGGGAGGCGTTTTCCTTGCAACAGGCACTGACCACACAGCTCTCACAAGCTGCCACACGCTGCTTCCTTGCTCACGCAAGGCTGGATTTGGACAGGAAAATCCCAGGGGAACACAGTGTGTTTTTTACTCCATTTTAGCTTCTTCAAACCCTCTGCACACCCTGGGAACAGATGTGTCCTGAGAGTGAAATGAGGTGGTTGCTGCAACCTGAGGTGCTGTGCACTCCCCAGAGCCACACTGGGAGTTTCGGAGAAGAATGCCTTATTCATGGAGGGGACCATGAATATTAACGGCACATTGCTCTGGCTGCGTCTGTTATATTGATTAGACGGAACAGGCAGGTAAATGCAACCTCTCCTTTTCTCCTCCTTCCCCCTGAACAGGCCCGCCAGATCTGAAGACCCCTGCTGAGACCTCGCTGTTGTGCCTGTATAGCACTGAGCACCCCTGGGGAGCAGGACACATTTGTGCAAGGCAAACAGGGCATCGGGTTTCTGCTCCTACATATGCTGATGCTCTGCAGTAAAGAAGCTGAAATGCCAACACTAATGCAAAAGCTAATTCATTATTTATCGGCATTTGCATTTCAACCAGCAGAGGCTCCAGCACTTGCTAAACCACAGGAGGTTTTCCAACTCCTCCTGTTTGGAAGGAGCCAGGCCAAGAGGAAAGGCAGGTATGCAGAGAGGTGAGTGAAGGAATGTGCAGATCTGCATGCGTGGGAGTTACACAGGGAAGAGATGCGTATGTGCGTGGTGGGGGGATGTGTGCTGCTGGGAAAGGGGTCTCCAGGAGCAGCGATGTGTGTGCAGGTACCTCAACGACACATGGGGGGTGCAAGGGAGCTTGACTGCACGAGTGGGTGGCAATCAGCACATGCATCTGCTGGGACTCGCGTGCATGAAGCAGGATGCTGTGCCCAGCGCTGTCTGCTGTGCATGGTCAGACTTACGAGGGAAGCGCGTCGGGACATCCTGCTGAGGGGCTTGGGGAACTCCGGGCTCTCCATCTGCAGCTTTTGCAAGAACTCGGGGGGCAGGCGGATGTCCATGGGCAGGGAGAGACGCTTGCTGACGTCCTGTGAGAGGGCCAGAAGAGCGGGTATGAACACATCTGATGAAAGGAGGGCTGTACAGAGACATTCAAAGGGAAGTGCTCTCTAACCAGAGCTGATATGAATGCCGGGGCAATGGGTGCAGCATCTGTGGGACCCCTAGTCAGAGGAAAAGGGAAGGTGTGTGTGCATGGGGATGTGCACTGGGCTTTGTCAGGTAGCACGGGAGTTGTGTTGAGTGCACCCAGGAGGACATCAGGGCTCGTGTCTGACCCTGCCAGGTCTCCACGAATCAAGGACCGGCTCTTCCAGCCAGCAGGCAGGTGACAACCAGACTCGCCGTGTCCCCTCTGCCCCCTCCAGCCTGCAGCAGCACTCACCTCCATGGAGAAGCGGCGCTGGTTGTTGCTGCGGTAGCGCACGGCCATCGGGGACTGTCCTTCCACCTCGGAGGGGGAGATGGGGCTGGTGTCTGCTCGGAATTCCCTGCCCAGGTGTCCCAGCTGCAGGTGCCCTTGAGCCAGGTCTGAGGATAAAGGGAAAGGAGCACAAGCTGCTGGGGTAGCAGCACAAGTGCCAAGGCCCAAGGTATTTGCTTTGGAGAAAAGAGTGAGGGCAGGGCAGGGAGGCCCAGAGATGCTCCACAGCATAGTCTTCCTCCCTCTTGACATCCAGGAGGCATATGGAATGCCTGCTTTATGCTCCAGGCTCCTGCTGCATCATTGCCCACACAGCTCTGCTCAGCAGCACCCCCAAAGCACCCTCATGCAGCCCCCTGCAATGAAGGTCTCTTCTGATAGACGGGGAGGGGGATACAGAGAGAGGAGCTGCTTCACATCCAAGGCCACCCAGATCTCCCACACCTCAGTTTGGTGCTCAACCCCCCTTTAGCAGCAGCACCACGGTGTTCTGCATGGGTTGAGTATTCCTCTGAACTTCCCAGCCTTATCTTCACTACAGTCACATTAGACAAAACACGATTTGGACTTTAGGAGCTCCAAGGTGCCTGACCATGGCTCCAGATCCCTCTGTGCTAGGTCTGTACAAAAGCAAAACAGAAAGAGAGCCCTGTCCCTGAGGAGCTCACGAACACACGCACCTGATCTGCTTCAGGACCCACCAGAACTAACAGACATCAGGGTACTTTCCTCCAAAGATGTGACTTTCTCAGAAGATGATGTTTGGGATTAAAGGCTGCAGAGTCACTTATTACAAAACAAAACACTCCAGGCTTTCCTGCCCCAACCTGCTGCACTTAGCTAGACACACAGTCCCGAGAAGCACAAAAGCTCTCTTGAAAACCAAAGCAGCTCAGAAAAATAACTCTTCTCTTGGGACTCCAGGTGTGAAGCCTCACCAAACCCAAGAAACCCTGAAAGGCGCAAGAAATCAGAACAAAATAAGCCATTGAGCTCCCTCTGGTCTCCAGTCTGAGGCTTGCACTTAAACCTCCCCACTCTGTAATTAACAGCTGGTTGACAGGAATATTCTGGCATGGAGAGACTCAGACAGCGGCACAGCAGAACACTGAGGAGTTCAACGCAGGTCGCCTGGACCCCAGCGAAGTGGATTCCCCTGATTCACATGGATGCTGTTCCCAAGGGGCTGTTCAGAAGGAGGCAGCGCTGACTGGGTGTGCTGGGAGGGAGGAGCACCAGCTCCCCCAGGGAGGGATGCATCTCCCTCTGTAAAGGTGCAGGGCCAAGCAGGACTGTTTTGTCCCCTTGCCGGTGGTCACAGAGCTCTCTCCCTTCTCATCAAAACCTGCAGCTACCCTCCAAGACAGCAAAGCCTCCAGGGTCCAAGGGCCCTGCCGTAAAGCACCGGTGTCCTCCCTGCAGCCAGGCACCCTGCAGTGATTTCCCCAGAGCAAGGATGAACATTGCAGCAGGGAAACTCCCCAGGGAGGACCTGCGATGCCCGGAACTGAGCCACCCGAGTCCTGCCCGTTGCCAAGCCCCTTCCCTGAGCCGCACAGAGACAATGCCCTGCTCTGCCTAATGCAGATTTCAGCGCATGGATCCCGATGTGCTCAGGCAGCCAGCGATGATCTCATTGCTGAAGACCGGAGAGGGAGGGCGGGCGTTCACGGGGTGCTGAGCAGGGCTGGGACCTGGCTGCAGTTTGCTCATCTGACGGATGAGAGGTGGCAGGCAAGTGAGCTGCGAAAAGATGCGGTTTCGTGCCATGGTCACTGGGGGACCAGGCGACCTGCGAGCTAAGGGACGGAGCGTGTCCTCAACAGCCAGCCCGCACCTAAGGGACGGGTTCAGCCCGTGCCCTTGGGCTCGGGAGCAGCTGAAACAGGGCCAGGAGTTCTTGGGCAGACAGGCAAGAACAAGGCACAGTCACCCCTTTTCCCAGGGCCACTGCGGGACTCTGGTCCCTGTCCCTTTCTGGCCATCTGTTTGTGTAGGAACAGTCAGGAAACTTACCCTGAATTAACCACAGGCATAAAATTAACGGGGATCAATTAAACCGGATCAAATATTTTTAACTTGCTCACTTCCTAAGCAAATTATCTGAAAAAAACAACCCCAAAAGGCATTTAAAATCTGACTGAACAGAGTTCAGCTAACCCACTTCAAATGACAGTTTGGGTGCGTTTGTGCTGGTTCCCATAGGTAAAGAAGCCCAAAATCTTGGTAAAAGGTGCAGCACTCTCTGAACCAGCAACCCACCAGGCAGGTTAGTGTCAATCCCTCCTCATCTACAAGAGCATCGGATGTATAGCCAGAGGCCAAACAACAACCTGGACGTCGTAGCGCAAGATGTGAACTACCACAGGATGGGAAAAGCAGGTAAAAAGACACACAAGACCTGCAAGGATGAGGGAAAAGGTGATTTGGCTGCCCTGGGGCCACAGAGGGCAGGAGGGATGTGCCAGCCCAGTCCATCCTGCATCACCCTGAGGTGCCCACAGCACCCAGGGATACCCAGGCCCACAGAGTTGCTCACGCAGGGCTGGGGCTGCCCCCAGGCTTGGAGGACCTTGGCAGGAGGAGATGTGAAGCTGTGGGCGTGCAAACCTGAGGGCCTGTTTGGTTCTGCTCAGCATTTCATGTAGATTATGGTGAGCCTTGACACTCTGCAAATAACGAGGCTGCATGGGATATCAAAGCAAATTAAAGTGAGACCGCAGACACGGCGGCTGCCTTTGACGAGCCTCCCGCCTTTTTTTATAAATATATTTAAACACTGCCTCTGCCAAAACAAGCTTTGATCTCCCAAGGAAAGGGGCCAGAACCCTTCAACTGCTTGCCTGACTTATAACTTTTAATTACTTTGCTAAGTGTGAACTCTCCTCTTAAAGCTCTGTTACACTCATGAGGCAGGGCTGCACTCAGATCTTGGATTATTCATCCTCCTTCCTCCCCCTCACCATCTCTTCTTCATGGCCTTGCACTCTGAAGGCCAGATCTGGTGCTGATTTATGCCGTTGCAAACTGGGAGTTACGCAGGCTTTGCAGCCTGAATACTGAGACCTTATTTGGCCTCGGAGGACGAACCAGGCAGTAGCTGTTTTGGGGCAAAGCCTTGGCACAGATAGGAGTTATTGCTGGACAGCACCAGCTCTTAACAAAGCAAATGGGAGCCACCAAGACCTGATACCTCTAAAATCTGGAGTATGCGGAGGAATGTGTAACTGGGGACGCGCAGGAGGAAAGGAAAGAGCCCCTTAATGTGAGGCTGGAGCAGCCATGGAGAAGATTCCTCATCTCCGAGGATGTGGAGATGGTGCTGGCCTTTGTCAGGGATATCAGATACTGCACAGAGCCCAGTCTGGGCTCTCCCTAACACAGGGACTTTCTTCCTGTGGCCGAGGGAAGGCTGTTCTGCCCAGGGGCAGGATGCACAGCAAGGCAGAGAGGTGTTGGATGCCCCAATTTAGGCTGTGAGGGAATCAGGCTCTGACCACAGGCACCCCCTTTCCCTCTCTGCATCACCAGACTCGGCCAAGGTGACATTGCCCGTGATGGGATGTGTCCAGGCTGGAAAGCTGTTTGCTTTTCCATTTGCCAGCTCCACTTCCCTCAGACCTCATTTTATCAGCCTCTGCGGGGGAGGACACGAGAATTATGGGATGGAGAGGACAGAGCTGGGGATTTCCTACCACAGCACCAACAGCCGAGGCAGATTCCTGCCCACAAGAAGGCCTTGCCTTGACCCACTGCCAGAGTCAGAGCAGCTCTGCACATGCTTTTGGAGCATCTCATGAGCATGAGGTCTTTGGCCTCTGCATCACCCTCCTCCCCAGAGACAGGCACGGCCCCCACAGCCACCCAAGTGTCAGATCTGCAGACTGCCATGACCTGTGAATGCTGATAACCTGTGATTTCTGATGCTGGAGGGAAAATAAAACCTGCAAGCAATTCCCTGAGGAGCTGTATGAGGTGATGAAAGAAAAAACGATGTGCTGATCTCTGCTGTGATTAGCACTCTTTTCTGGAGTGAGCAATCACAGTCCCTGAGCTGTCACGGGTCATCCGCTCGCAGGGAGGAGAAGATGACTGCAGGCAAGGCTGCCTCCACACAGGGACAGCCCAGGGCCACGCTCAGAGATCCTGAGCAAGGAAGGTGAAACCTGAGGCAAAGTTTTTTCATGGGGAAAGCAGCACAAGAGCAACTGCCATGACTCTGGTCTCAGCTCTGCTGCCAGCTTTCTGCACAACTGTAGCAAAGGCATTTTGCCTCTCTGCACTTTGATTCCTCCATCTGTAAAACAGGAGACCTACACCTCAGGGAGAACAACAGAGACCTCCCCAGAACAGGCATCTCCCAGGAGGTCCAAACCTCACCACCAAACCCTGCAAAAGAGCAACTTGCACATAAACCCCCTTCTCATCCAAACCCCACCAAAACGATCCCATTCTCTCTACACACTTGAAGCATCGCACTCCCAAACCATGCCTGAATGCCTCCTCACCCCGCGGTGCTGGGACTCGTGCCCCCCACCAGCTCTGTCCCCTGGCACCGACGCCTCCAGCTTCCCCCTGCCAAGTCCTCCTGGCACAGGGCTGTGGGCAAAGAGCTCCCGCGCAGGAGGGGTTCATTAAACGGCCGAAGGGAAGCCTCAGACAAATGTGGCTGTCAGGGCTCTTCATAAACAACGGCCGCAGCCTGTGGAGATGGAGATTAAGGGCATCGTGGAGGTGACTTCTCAGGATTGTTTACAATCCCCATGGGAAACTTAATCGAGAGATCTCGGGCAGGAGGGAGCGGGCTCGGGGCGGTGGGTACAGGCTCAGGGCAGTGGGTACGGTGGGACCGCACGTTTTGCCTTTGCTGTGTGGGAGAGGACTGGGGTGCAAACTGGAAACCGTGCACCGGGGAGCAAGGGGGACCAGGGTAGGAAAGTGGTGGGAGGGTGCCAGGACGTGCCGCGTCCATGCAGGGAGAGATGTATGGATGGGTAGAGGCTGCCACTGGGGCATCCCATAGCAGCACCTGAGGAGCCGTACCCAGACCCCAAGCCCCTGATGCATTCCTGGGTCCCAGAAGGAAAATCTCCTCACCATACCCTGTCATGGTCTAGTACTGGTCCAGCCTCTGCCCACAGGGTCAGGAACACGCTCAGTCCTGGCCCCAGGCTCAGTCTGCTCTGCCTCTGCTCTGATTCTTTCCCAGCTACCTCAGGAGTGAGGCCAAAGCAGGGAGGACAGGCAGATGCTGCGTGCACTGGTTTGCCATTCAAGGGCAAAGGAAAAACCGCAACAGAAGCTTCATTAAAGCAGAAGAACAGGGAAATCGCCTCTGACAAAGCCTGGGTTTGCACAGCGGAGATAACGAGCCCAGGCTCACACATCCCAGAGCTGAGGTCCCCCAAGGAAGGCAACAGAAGCAGCAGCTGTCAGCACCCAGGACTTTCTTAGCCTTGCACCATTTTATCCCCACAGCTTCTGCACATCTAATTAAGGGCTCAAGTCTAATTATAGCCCTCACTGCTTGCTAGGGTGTGAGGGGAGGTGTATGCAGGGGAGAGCAGGGAAGGAGGCCGTGAAGGGATGCTGTTCAGGGTAGCCTGGGTGGCCAGAGGGACAAAGAGGAGAATCAGGAGCTGCAGGAGTGAGGAAAGCCAGCTCTAAATAGGTTACTGCATCTCTTCTTTCAAGCAGGTTGGCTGGCAGGGAGACGATCCCTCCCTGCTGGGGCAGATGTGAGTGCCAGGGAATTACATCACAGCCTCAGCCTCTGCTTGCAGCAAAAGTTTCTAGCAACTGTGGCTGTAGGGTGAGGCGAGAAAGAGCTCGAACGTGACCTGAGTGGAGCTGAGGGCACCGTCACACGAACGGGCTGGCCTGTGGCAAAGCCAGTTGTTTTGGTAGGAGGCAGCCGCAAA